CCTATTGCAAATGGGAAATTGATAGTACCTAAGAGATGCGTTGGGCTGTTGGATTATCTCACTTTGGTTTGATTGAATTCCTGAAAGAAAACAAAGAGATGAAAAGAAGAAAACCTGACAAAAAAAAAAAGAAAAGAAAGAAAATAAGAAAAGAAAAACCTGAAGAGAGACAATCCATAACCTAGCTAGTATTGACCTGATAGCTAGCAGCAAACAAGGGGTTTAGTGTATAGGGAAGTTAATGCTCGGCTCAGCCTTGCTACTCTTCCGGCCCGTCACCTTTGCATGCGCGGCTCTCACAGCCCAGCTGGCACAATGAGCTACCGCTCTTCCCTCTGGGATGCTGATGGTGCACTTGCCCTCATCCACTAATCTTGCTCCCTCTTTCTCCCTCCTGCCTTCCCCTCCACTTCCTTCTTTCACCCCTCACATCCTCCTTCGCCCCTTGCCCTCCCGTTTGCCCTTCTCTCCCTGTGATTCCCCACCACCGATGCCTTGCTCTGCCAAGCTGGCTCCTTTTAAGAACCATCAATTTAGCACGGCACGGCCAGGCATAAGCCGGAAATAGATACTGTGGTAACCGGGGGTTTAAGAGGACCAAAAGGGGGGGGGCAAAGGGCTTGGCTTTGCATAACCCGTAGCCCAGCCGTCGCCCATGCAGGTACGGATACAGCCAAGCCATGTCGAAGAAAGAAGAATGCTTTGTTATGGAAGTTCTCAGAAGTAACCAAGATGATGAGGCGCGGTAGAAGTGATACTATAGCTGCTTATGCAGATTCCCTGACAGTGACTAGGTTTCCACGGGTCAAATCGAAGCAACCCTTCTCGGCTACCATCCAGACATTGGACGGAAGGCAGATACCCATTTCCTTTGGAAAGGATACCACAGCTCACAGCCTCCACGAAAAGTTGCTGCAAGAAACCAATCTCCCAACTCTCTCCAGGAAAAACGCCAACTACTACCTGTTAATCCATACTAGTAGTGGGAAAGTGATGGATGGTAGCATGTTCACATCTTCAGGAGGGCAGACGGTGCTGACTCTGGGCATTGAGGATGGCTCCATTGTCTATGCCATCCTGACAAACAAACCGCTACGTCTTACAGCTCCATGCTCGACCGTCAAGAAGTATGATATACCCAAAACAGAGCTACGTTCTTTAAACACCCGCCAGCTTAAGGAACTGGCTCTCCAGGTGATTCTGAGGTGTGAAGCTGAAGGCTGGACCAGCACTGATCTTAAGAAGAAAGGAACCCTACTCAAACCAGAGGATGTGACACTCTACGATCTCGTGGAGCATTACGTCAAACCCATTACGGCAGAAAGACAGTGTAGTTATGTCGAGATGGTTTCATCCAAGGAAAAGAGCCCGACTTATTATGTTAGTCACTACTGGGGAGACTCCGTGCTGGGTAAGATTGCCTGTCTTTTGCAGCATGCCAAAGATCACATGGACGATGGCAGCTTTACCTACTGGATCTGCGCCTATGCCAACAACCAACACAAATTGCAACAAGAAATCAACTCCCATGGTGACCCTATTGAAACCTCCTTCTTCCGAGCCATACAACTCAGTCAAGGGACCGTGTCCATCATGGACCAACACCGAATCTGCTTTGCCAGAATTTGGTGTGCCTTTGAGATCTTTTTGGCTCTGAGGGACATGAACAGCAACAGCAACAGCAGCAATAACAACTCATGGGATCGACAGCAGCAGGAAGAGGACGTGCCGTACATGTATGAGATTTACACCGTCAAGGCGACACCGGACAATCGACACGATAATGCATGCTTGGGACTCCGGGATGTGAACGTCTTTGGAGGTGCACAATATGGTGCCAAAGGCAAGCCTCCATTTCCATGTTGCACCGAAATGCTGGATATTTGTATTGAAAAGGCTGCCGCCACCAGGGACAATGACAGAAGGAGCATTCTCAACTATATTTGTGGAGGGAGAGCGGCAGCAGTCTCAAATGAAGAACCGCCATCGGGACACTGTGCCTACCAGGAAATCAACAATCTACTTCGGGCAAGGATTGCACTGTCAACATACCAGGCAGCTCTGGCGCAGCAACAACCAATGGAAAAGTACCGAAATGCCATTCGTCATCACCCAAATCTCAAGCGTCTCTCCATGAACTTTTATGAGTTTGATCCTTTTGTGGAAGAAGCTCGACATTTCATGGCCGCGGCTCTTCCAGAGGGATTGGAATCACTGCAGCTGTATTATGGAGGACTGGCGTTTGAATCATCGGATGAGTTTGCACGAGGCTTGAGCAGACAGACAAACCTCAAAGAATTCACCCTGCTGGCGTCTCATTGCTCCAAATTGACATCCATTGATGGTCTCTGTGACGAGCTCGCAAGACTACCAAATCTAGAGCTGCTGGATCTGAATTTCAGTTCTTGTACACAGCTACAATCCATTGATTCACTTGCCGCATTGATTCCCAACATTCAAAGTCTAAGGTACTGCTATCTGAACATCAGTGAGTGCACACGTCTCACCAGTTTGGATTCGTTCAGTCAAAACAAAGCCTGGGGTAGCAATCTACAGCGTTTCAGTTTGGATGCCAGATGGTGCTCCATGTTCCTGGGAATAGATAGCAAAGGAGCCGAGGCCTTCTTCAAACGTTTGTGCGGACTACGAGAAAACAAATCCTGCAAAGTGCGGTTGGTGCTTTCGGGTTGCAAGGGACAGCGGGCGTACAATTTTTTCTCTACTGCTCCTGGCCATTAGATTTTTAAAATAGCAACTAATTTAGACTGCTTTGCCTAGCCTCGCCCCCCTCGCTCCTTAGAGCATTCAATCCCCGGGTACCCCAAATCACAAAACCCAAATGGTTGGAGGTTGACCATCCTCGCTGCTAGGCTATGCTTGCTCGCGAAAGAGAACCTCAACGCTCCTATTGTGATGTTAGAATGATGTCATTGATGATGTGGCAATTCTTCTCCTTAAGTAAATTTGAATCCAATGAGTCAAATGGGTTTGGGTCGGCTGTTTGGGCTGCGCAAACAGCTCGGATTTGCGCGAAGCACATGAATCCACATGTTCCCTAAAACACATTTGACTCAGTGGACTCAGGTCGGCCGGCGATACTCGATGCCAACCATTTGGGTTTTGTGATTTGGGGTACCCGGGGATTGAATGCTCTTAACGTATCTATTTAGTATTTATTTATCCCACTAATTTAGACTACTGGCTAGCTAGCTAGGGTTATTGGATGAAATCCATGGAGCTCAATGATAAGACTGTCACTCGCTCCAACCAACGGCCGCGCGTTCCATCGCTACATGCATTTGCCACCACTCCGGCACCGGGACAGGAGTAAAGGTAGGATGCTTGTTATCCAAACCCGCACCGGTACAGAACGGAAGGATCCGACTGACGGCGACCGTCGGAGCACGTCCGTCAATGAGCAAGGACCGTGGTGGGTGTGGATTGAAGGCAAAGCAACAAGGAAACTACCCCGTTTCCACGACACTAGGTCGTTTCTTTTTTTCTCGGGGACATCCCTGTAAAGGGGGGATGATCCGATTGATGGTGACCGTCGGAGCAATTGAGCAAGCGTAGATAATCTACCTACTATAAACCCCGTTGATTGAGCAAGCGTGGTGGATGTGGATTGGAGGCAAAGGCAAAAAGAAAACTACTAGTACCCCGTTTCCAGGATCATTCCGTTTCTTCGATCCATCCTGCCAAACAAACGACACCAACACTGTGTCGTTTCTGGACAACTCCCCTCTTGTCGGTGATAATTCCGATACTCGCTTCGTTCACAAATTTATCTTATCGTCTCATCCATCGCTTCAACTACGTACACAACCTAGTCGCTTCCATCATGCCTTCAAACAAGAAAAAGTGCACCAAAAAGAAGCTTGCAAAGCATCCTGAGCGGATCTCTCCAAAGAAGCTTGCTCAAGCGATGCCGGAAGTCCTGGAGCGGCTCCAGTCTGGAAACGTTGCCGATAAAGAAGCCGCTTACTTGGAGGTGCTTACCTCAGTTGGTCCAAAGGTGGACAAAATCATGACTAAAGATGGTAGAACACACAACAAACCGGAGCTGAAAGCACTGGTGCTTGCCGGACTCGCCGTGAGTGGCAGCAGTGAAGCAGCACAAGACCTGAAAAACTCGCTCAAGAGTATCATGTTGAAATACGTCAATGCAATGGATGAAAACGAGGGAGAGGTCGCATTCTCCCTCGAAAAAAGCAAGGAGATCCAATTTAGGACCCAAAAGTGTTTTGATGAAGGAATTGACGAAATGAAGGATGAGATCATCTCAACCTGTTACAACGGCAGCGAAGAAGCATTCAAGACAACGTGTCCAGCTTACAAGGCTTCTCGCGATGTGTTCTGGCACCACTTTAGACAGACTTTCTGGTCAATGATAGATACGAACCTAAAGGAGATGATGGAAAAGTTCGATACTGCAACCGCAGGAGTGCAAATGGGGATGCACAAGTCCAAGTGGGTCTGCTGGAAGTGCGGAGAGGAGGCAGCATTTTGCTGCACACAGTGTCATGTGGCAAAGTACTGCAGCAAGGAATGCCAACGAGCTCACTGGCAGACATCCCACCATCCAACTTGCAAGAGTTTGCACGATGTGTATGCTCCATTCAAAGTAGACCAAACCACAGTTGAAAAAGCACATGGGAATCCAGAGGAACATGCAACGAAGTTTTGCATTGAACCTGCTGTCGAGGATTTTCATCTTCTTTGGATTGCCTCAAGAAACCATATTTTCCAAAAACAGCTATTTGTTACCGGAGAAGAAGGCGCCACCGGTGTCCTTGGAACAGCTGAGGCTTTCCTGGATCATCATTTCCCTGACAACAAGGGGCGCAACACACCTACAATGACCAACTTTTATGGCAACGTGAAAAAGTTGGTAGAAGACGGGTTCTTACTCTCTCCAGGATCTCACAATGTTTCTCCGCAGAAGTGCGTCCGGGATCGGAAGGCATTTCTAGCCGTCTCCCAAGCAATGATGTTTGACTATTCAACCCTCCCAGTTATGCTACAAATGCCTTTCTTCTACGTCGTCGTCACTGATGCATACGGTAGCGAGGACTTCAGCATGAGTGCAGGGGAATGGCTTTACAACTACTGTGACGGCGATCGATACAACGAAAATGCATTCTTGGATTGCAACGCGGCGGCTGAACGCAAGTTCGATGCCAAGCGATGTCGTTACTTTGCGGATTTCAATACCCACGAATACCTGCGAGAGAATGCAGGTGACTTCGTCAAACCAAGCGAGAAACCTTGAGCCACTACGCCAAAAGCACCGGGAAAACTTGCTATGATAAAGCTCGTGGTCGCTCGAGATCACGGAGGAATCGCTTCAAAGAGGTTTTGTTAGACTATATAGCTCTCCTAGCTAAAGTGTAGCATCGGGTAGCAACGTTGTTCAGTTCGCAGACCTCCGTAGCGACGATGTTCAGTTCGCCGACCTCTTCCCGATTGGCTCGCCGGCCCTGTCGACGTGCACTTGCAGCAGAATCCGTAGATAATCCAACCACTCTAAACCCCCGAGCTTCAAAGGGGAATGGCCATGGCAATCGCCATGAAGTCGCTCGACGGGAAGTCCACAGTCGACAGTATGACTATTGTATCGGTATCGTCCGTGCACTGAATGGCAAATAGGGGTTGGCTGGAACCCCTGTGTTCGTATTTTGGACATAAGACATTGGAGCCTCGGAAAACAACAAGAGGAGGTACAACCGCACCCAGCAGAGACCACTAATAGAAAACTATGAAAACTATAACTGTGCTTGCACAGGTTACTATGTGGTTAGAGTGGGCAATGTGTGGAAAGTCAGAGGTTGAGCGAGGGAAGCATGTGAGTTAGCCAGAGAATCAAGACAAAGCAGGCCAACCGAGGATGGAGGAGAATGAAAGGGTCATGAGGAAGGACGTCAAGGAAAGTGGAATGGATGAGAGGACAAAGACTAGTGATAGAGATCCACGGAGCAACGATCGACCCAATGTCGGGAGCCACACTCGAGCAAGGGCGATGCTCAATTGTGCAGCAGCATAGGAGCAAACCACAGCGTAGGGCTTGGATCACTTCTTAGCCATTGGAGAGCAGTTGTAGTTTCAGCAGTAAAGAGGCCCTCAGCAGAAACAACAAAGTGGGTCAAGTGCCGACGTTATGCAGTGCTCTGAGCCAGGCGCTTCATCTTCTCAGCCTTCTCACGCTGGGAATTCACAGCAGTTGCACCTTGACAACAATGACCAGGGAACTTGACATCCACAATGGCGACATCAAAGATAAAATCAGTGCCCCCATAAAAACTAGCCGAAAGCGATGGACAAAAGCAAGGCACTCCTCCACAGCCAAAGGAGCTTCCTGTAAAGACAATCTCCCACCGTCAAAGCTGCTTGATTCTCTGCAGTGTGATATCTACCCATACGGCAAGAGTTGATGACATGCTTAGAAAGCCATACTTCGAATTCACTTCCTGCACTTCCATGGTACAAGCACCATGCAGTAGGACAACAAAGGTGGGGCGGCAACACCCACCCACCACATCAACCATTTCATTCCCCCAACCAGCACCCCCTTTACTCAAATCAGGAACATTCAACCTTCGTCTTCCTCCATACAACCACACACTGTGCAGGAACAGTTCACAAGATCACAATCCACAAACATCCGAAGCAAGACCACTGAATCACAAACGGATGACGGCACCGTATCAGAGAATGAATTGTTCTGGAGATGTAGTTGTCGCAACCTGGAAAGCGAGGTCAATGTTGGGAAAAGCCGGCCTGTCAACTGATTGAAACTAAGCCTGAGATCAAGCAACGAAGTCATCTTGGACAGTCCCCATGGAAGGGATCCAGTGTAAGCATTGTTCTGCAACCACAACCATTGCAAATCTGTCATAGAGGAAAGATCCGGAATTGTTCCACCCTGACGGTTATCCCTTCCATTGAACGATGTCATTGCTGTCAGCCTGCTGAGGTCAGGGAGAGTCCCAGTGAGATCGTTCCTACCAAAGTCGATTTGCATCATCTTCGAAAGGGCATTCAATTCACTTGGCAGTGTGGAATTGAAGTGGTTTGCCTGAAAATGAAGAAATGACAATGATGTTAGGAGCCCAAGCTCTGTGGGAAGCGGCCCCGTAAACTGAGAGAGCATGATATGCAACAGCTTCAACTTAGTCAGTACTCCAACTTCAGTGGGAAAGGTACCACTGAATTGATTGTTGTCCAATACCAAACTCTCCAGTTCGGTCAGTTCAAAAACTCCTGATGGGACTGTGCCGCTGAAGGGTAGGTACACAAGAACGATGTAGGCTTGGTTTGTGAGTCCTGCTGGCGGGCTCTGATTAGCAAGGCATGGGGCCACGTACCTGAACAAGTTTCCCCGGACTGACAACGAAGTGAGCTCTGAAAGAGCATTAATCCCCGATGTGAGAGTGCCAGTCAGCTGGTTCATGAAAATAGACAAATCAGTCAGAGAAGTCATCGCTGTAACCTCGTTGCTGAGTGCTCCAGTAAAGGCGTTGGTACCCAAATGAAGCTTTGTCAATCCCGAAAGTCCAAAGAGCTCATCCGGCAGAGAGCCGCGAAGCAAATTGTTTTCCAATTTCAATACTTCCAACAATGTCAATTCCCCAATCTGACTTGGGAGTTGGCCGGTAATGAAATTCTCGTTCAGATCCAAGGCGGTCAATCTTGTCAAAAAACTAATTTCTGGCGGAAGAGTTCCTCGAAGACCTGTCTCCTGTAGCGTCAAGTTCAAGTAAACACCATCATCGGTACAGTTGTTTTCAATCAGAGCCCAAAATTGGTAAGCGGGAAGGAGTCCTTCAGTGAATCGTCCTTGCCAATCGCATTCATGAAGGCTAGTATTGAGCCATGTAGTGGCAAAGGGAGGCACCACCCATGTGTCTCCACGTGTGGAGTAATATAGGGAAGCAAGTGCCATGAGTTGCAGTTTGCGCCAACTAGGCATGCTGTCAAACTCTGGATGTTGTTGAAGCCATTGCCACGCCAAACTCTGTCCAGACACTTTCAACCCATCAAGGGCAATCACCTCTCTAGTGAAGTCAGGAAGAAACGACATTTCAATCCCCATGTCATTGATGGCCTCAGTACCGGCCAATGCAGTACTTGGGCTGCTGGTTTCACCTATAGTGGGTATGACCGTGTCCCCATCAAGATTATTGGATTCACTGCTGTTGCTGGTGGTGGTTGGAATATCCATCTGTGTGCTACCGGTCGAGCTAATAGGGTCAACCTCAGGGTCAGCGTTGCTGTCAGCTGTCAGGACAATCGCCAAGACAATGACACCAGCCACAACAATAAACAAGCCGGCTAGTCCCACCCATGCCCTCAATTGATCTTTCTTGGCTTGATCCTGTCCCTCATTGTTGGGAGTACCAGTATACATACCAGTATCATCTTCATCATTGTCTCCAATTGGCAAGGTCAGAGGCTCTGCCATTACCACTTCCGATTCTTCCACAAGGTTGGCGTTTACCGGAACCTGTTCCGTTGCCACAGCATGTCCTTCATTGCCTGAACTATGATGCGTCGATTGTCGTTCCTGACTATTTGAATCAACAGCAGGAAGGTTAGACTGTGTAAGTGTAGGGAGCGAGGCACCAGAGTTGGGAGCATGGAAGAGGCCATAGTCAAGCATCTCAGTGTGTTGCATTATTGACTCTCCAGGGGCATTTCTGTACCGGTAGGCTCCAGGAAGGGCTGGCTGCTGGTGCTGTTGTTGTTGTGGTACGCGTTGGTTCAATGATGATGGATGGCTTGCAATCAAATTCAAAGAGGAATTCATAGCTGGCATGGTCAGCTGGTCCGAATCTTCCAGTTGGCTATTATTAGCTGCTTTTCCCATTATCATTGGTGCCAAACTACTAGTACAGCTGCGGTTGGATGATGATTTCTTGGGAAAATATGAAAGCCGGGCACTGCTTTGAGGGTTTTCAAACTGGGCCACTGGCATTACAGCCGAGAGTGGAATATTTGCAGAACTAGTTGTGGTCTGATCAGCATTTTGGTTGTGATTTCCTGGCATGCTGCTGTCTGCAGCTACTTGCTTTTCTGCAGACGACTTGTCGTCGTCCAGATTGCCATAGCTTTTTCCTTGCTTTTCCTTCGGGAAAAATGATAGCCAGCCACTCTGCTGGGACCCTGGTTGCAGGGCAGCCTCCTCTTCCATAGCCGCTTGGGGAGCCCGAGCCGCTCGGCGTTCTTCGTTGTTTTGACAAGGAGGAGTAGTTGTCGTGACACTTTGTGTTTGTTCTCTGACCACCGCCAAGTAAGCCGTACCGGTAGGCTTCTCATGTTCTTCGTCTTGGTGGTTACTACTATTATGTGTACCACCAGCACCTGCTTTGGCTCGGAGGGACGACAAGTCAGCGGCAACCATCTCTTCTGGTGGCGTATTGTCCATACTTGATTTTTAAAGCGAGAACTGAATATAGATGGGACGAGGATAGAGCCTCGGATACACAACAAGACTAATTGAACAACGCCAAAAAGGAGACAAAAAAAGTGACGGGTCAAATAAATCCGGAAAAGTGGCTCCGAGATGCCGGCAAGACTGTCAAAACATCCCATTTTTGACAACACGGAACCATTTCCACACCGGCCAGCGGGATCCCTAAGTACCATATACATGCTGGCGCGTATGTAAGTACTCATCGCCAAAATGAATCTGCGGGACGGCTACCTAGAATGTTCTTCCGTTGCGCAGGACGTCACACCCCACTCCGGCTTCCCGCGCAGCCAACTCTTGTTTCGGCGTGGGAGAAACGGAAAAGGGACGCGAAGGTCGAAAGCTCGCTTGATGAATCCACGCTGCTAGAACTACGCTTAACTAGTCCGTTTCTGTTGAGAAATAAAGAGAAAGAGAGTGTGTGGATAGCAGGCGGCTTGCACTGGCACAATTTCTGACTCTTGGCATCACTTCTAGCTAGTATTAGAAGTGTACCGGTACGAACGCAACGCAACATAACAATGGCCAACTTTTTGAAACGTCGCGATGGTCGTCCTCGTTGGAGTAAGCGAGGCGCAACTGGTAGTAAGGAGAATCGCTTGCCGACCCGTGCCATGATTCAACTGTTGCGACGACGTGAGAATCCTGCATCCGCTGCCGCCGACGATTCGGATAGTAACAGTGACATGTCGACGTTTGATGCTACGCGCGATTACTACCACAACAACAACAAGTCCGCCGCCGCCGATAATGATGATGATAAGCTGTATCCCATTCTGCATCCCACAGCCGACGGCACTGGATTGGAGGTCAACTTTACCACCACACCTCCTCCACCACCCGTGACTACAGCTACTGGTACTATTATTGGTGCCAGTGCCAGTGGAGCAGCCACACCAGCGCGACCCCGCAGTGCCAACATTGTCTTTAACAAAGCTCCTCATCGCACTCTGTCTCCACTGACATTGGAATCGTCACCGACGGCCAGTACACTCACTAGTGGACATGTACAAGAACAAGAACAAGAAGAACAACGCCAAGATGAAGTCGCTACAAAGGACGACACTGCTGCGGTTGTTCCTGACACTAATGACAACAATGTTCCCACGGTGGTGTTGAGTACGTTTAGTGCCACTAGTGGTCTTGAGAATCCTTCCCACCTTCCTCCTCTTCCTTCCAATATTTCTTCCAAGGATACCACCATTCCAACGACGACTCCCATGAGCAAGGCATGCAAGAATGTCAAGGGCAAGTTCAAGCAGCTCAGTAACAACAAGAAGCAATCTACTACTACAACACAAGAGACAGTGTCGTCGCTATGGCAAGAAATTTGGCAACGCTGTGTCACGGATTGCTACTGCATCACCAATAGCAATAATAGCACTCGCAGCAGCACCAGTACGGTATTGCTAGACGATGATGACGACAATGCCGAAAACTCGGATTACTTTCAATTCTTGCCCTTTGCCGGTTGTATGGAAGAAGAAGATTTGGCGGATGTGGTACCCAAAATATGTGAAACGATCACAACGGGACTCCCAAAAGCCAAGAGCAAGGCACTGATGCAACTGGCACGTCTTTGCGATCGAGATCATCAACACAATCGCATTCCACTGGTTTGTCGACAAGAATCCTGGAATGTCGTGACTGTACTCTGTCAGTATGTACTGCAAGATCCAACTACGACGTGGAAAGATTATCGACAGGCATTGCTCATTCTCTCCAATCTCACGTTGCCCATGGAAAACAAGGCCGTTCTCTTGTTGGGACCTCTCCGGGAGGTTCTCTTGCGTGCACTCTATCACGGGCTCCGAGTGGGACATGTCGTCGACACTGACAAGACTACTGCCACAACCATGACACCCTTGCAAACACAGCAACAATTGGAGATTCATTTGGTCTGTGCTATTCTATTCAATTTGAGCTTTTTGCAAGATGGAAGAGAGGTATTGTTGAATTACAACATTACTGGCAGTGCTAAAGGCAGCCGATCGGCATCACCACTGCATCAAAAGACATCACTCTTGCAGACGTTGGAACGCATGATGCAACACTTTTTGCCATACACTACCAAAAAGAAGAACCGACAAGCCAATGCCGATTCCGTCGAACGACAAGCCATTCGATGGACCTTTGGAATGATGCGCAATCTCTGTCAAGACAAGGACATGGCACGGACCATTGGACAAACGCAAATCCCCAAGATGGCACTCGAGTTACTCCAGTCGGCAGCGACGTGTGACAAGGCTGCGTACAAGTGGAAGAGTCAGTCGTTGGAAGATCTTGCATTGGGCATGTTGATTGAATTGGCACTTCGAGAGAATGAACAAGAAGCACAGTTCCGTGCCCAACTGGGTACTATCAAGGGGCAACCAGCACAAAAACAGGAACATGAACTGTTGGTCCCGAGTTTGTACGCCATTTCTTGTCGAGACTATTTGGAACCCTTACTCCAAGTCAGTGGAATTCACGGGGTGCGAGCACAAGCCATTGTCAAGCGATTCGACCGAAAAGAGCAAGATGTTATTATTGTTCCGGTGGACCGAAAAGAGCAAGATAGTATTATTGCGGTGGACCACCAACCACACAACAGGAAACACATGTCATCCATTGCAAGTTTTTGATGGATGGATGGAGAAAAAGAACCCAAGCCGTTTAGGCGCCAAGGAACGCGGCTGGGGGTCTTGATGTGGGAGGGTAAAAGGGTGGGTGCTTGCTTACGCCGTCGCTCCAAGAATTTGGAGCATGTGATTTGAGTGGTGTGTTGTTTTTGGTGGCTGGTAGTACTGTGACAAGGTTGCATTGTTTTTAGTTGCTACCTTTTTGTTGTTTGTTTGTCAGGAGAGAGAGAAGATTAGATATATCCATTGTCTGGTATAAGCTATTTAAAAGATATCTTCTCTGGTTAAATGGTTTACTTGTGTAGCTTGCTGTTGGTACCGGGTTGTTGCTGTGCTTCTCACTGTTGCCACGCAAGTCGACAGGTTGGCTGTCAGAGGTTGATAATCGGGCAACCAGGAGTGGGGCTGGAGATGGACCAGCAGGCGTACCGGTTTAGTTGTGGGAACTCTCCCTTCGATCCGCCCTGTGGCCAGGAGTGAGGCCTGGAAAACTGAGTGGACTGTCACGGCCTTCGTTGCGCGCTTGGTCACGAATCTCAATCATGGGGACAGCACAGCGAGGCCAGTCAAGCCCGCCAGCAACCCCGACCGGCGTTTCGCGTTCAGTCACAGTGCCATAAGATAAGGTGAGAGGCAGCATGCATGCTGTCATAAATGCAGGGGGTGCCTCAAACCAACTGGTTTTTCGCCCCTTCCTTTCTTACAGGCAGCTTCGTTTCTATTGATCTCAAGCGCGCAACGAAGGCCGTGACAGTCCACTCAGTTTTCCAGGCCTCACTCCTGGCCACAGGGCGGATCGAAGGGAGAGTTCCCAAATCATTTCAGCTCCCACACCTGGTACAATGCCATGAAAATCCAATACCCTCTGCACATACCGGTACGCCTGCTGGTCCATCTCCAGCCCCACTCCTGGTTGCCCGATTATCAACCTCTGACAGCCAACCTGTCGACTTGCGTGGCAACGGTGAGAAGCACGCCGGTACCAACAGCAAGATACACAAGTAAACCATTTAACCAGAGAAGATATCTTTTAAATAGATTATACCAGACAATGGATATATCTAATCTTCTCTCTCTCCTGACAAACAAACAACGAAAAGGTAGCAACTAAAAACAATGCAACCTTGTCACAGTACTACCAGCCACCAAAAACAACACACCACTCAAATCACATGCTCCAAATTCTTGGAGCGACGGCGTAAGCAAGCACCCACCCTTTTACCCTCCCACATCAAGACCCCCAGCCGCGTTCCTTGGCGCCTAAACGGCTTGGGTTCTTTTTCTCCATCCATCCATCAAAAACTAGCAATGGATGACACGTGTTTCCTGTTGTGTGGTTGGTGGTCCACCGCAATAATACTATCTTGCTCTTTTCGGTATTCCGGAACAACAATAACATCTTGCTCTTTTCGGTCGAATCGCTTGACAATGGCTTGTGCTCGCACCCCGTGAATTCCACTACTTGGAGTAATGGGTTCCAAATAGTCTCGACAAGAAATGGCATACAAACTCGGGACCAACAATTCATGTTCTGTTTTTGTGCTGGTTGCCCCTTGATAATACCCAGTTGGGCACGGAACTGTGCTTCTTGTTCATTCTCTCGAAGTGCCAATTCAATCAACATGCCCAATGCAAGATCTTCCAACGACTGACTCTTCCACTTGTACGCAGCCTTGTCACACGTCGCTGCCGACTGGAGCAACTCGAGTGCCATCTTGGGGATTTGCGTTTGTCCAATCGTCCGTGCCATGTCCTTGTCTTGACAGAGATTCCGCATCATTCCAAAGGTCCATCGAATGGCTTGTCGTTCACGGAATCGGCATTGGCTTGTCGGTTCTTCTTTTTGTAGTGTATGGCAAAAAGTGCTGCATCATGCGTTCCAACGTCTGCAAGAGTGATGTCTTTTGATGCAGTGGTGATGCCGATCGGTGCCTTTGCACTGCCAGTAATGTTGTAATTCAACAATGCTTCTCTTCCATCTTGCAAAAAGCTCAAATTGAATAGAATGGCACAGACCAAATGAATCTCCAATTGTTGCTGTGTTTGCAAGGGTGTCATGTTGTAGTAGTCTTGTCAGTGTCGACGACATGCCCCACTCGTAGTCCATGATAGAGTGCACGCAAGAGTACATCCCGGAGAGGTCCCAACAAGAGAACGGCCTTGTTTTCCATGGGCAACGTGAGATTGGAGAGAATGAGCAATGCCTGTCGATAATCCTTCCATGTCGTAGTTGGATCTTGCAGTACATACTGACAGAGTACAGTCACGACATTCCAAGATTCCTGTCGACAAACCAGGGAATCCGATTGTGTTGATGATCTCGATCGCAAAGACGTGCCAGTTGCATCAGTGCCTTGCTCTTGGCTTTTGGGAGTCCCGTTGTGATCGTTTCACAAATTTTGGGTACCACATCCGCCAAATCTTCTTCTTCCATACAACCGGCAAAGGGTAAGAACTGAAAGTAATCCGAGTTTTCGGCATTGTCGTCATCATCGTCTAGCAATACCGTACTGCTGCTTCGAGTGCTATTGCCATTGCTATTATGGTGATGCAGTAGCAATCCGTGACACAGCGTTGCCAAATTTCTTGCCATAGCGACGACACTGTCTCTTGTGTAGTAGATTGCTTCTTGTTGTTACTGAGCTGCTTGAACTTGCCCTTGACATTCTTGATGCCTTGCTCATGGGAGTCGTCGTTGGAATGGTGGTATCCTTGGAAGAAATATGGAAGGAAGAGGAGGAAGGTGGGAAGGATTCTCACTAGTAGTGGCACTAAACGTACTCAACACCACCGTGGGGACATTGTTGTCATTAGTGTCAGGAATAACCGCAGCAGTGTCGTCCTTTGTAGCGACTTCATCTTGGCGTTTGTTCTTCTCTGTTTCTTGTTCTTGTGTACATGTCCACTAGTGAGTGTACTGGCCGTCGGTGACGATTCCAATGTCAGTGGAGACAGAGTGCGATGAGGAGCTTTGTTAAAGACAATGTTGGCACTGCGGGGTCGCGCCGGTGTGGCTGCTCCACTGGCACTGGCACCAACAATAGCGCCGAGTAGTGTAGTCACGGGTGGTGGAGGGTGTGGTGGTAAAGTTGACTTCCAATCCAGTGCCGTCGGCTGTGGGATGCAGAATGGGATACAGCTTATCATCATCATCGTCGGCGGCGGCGGACTTGTTGTTGTGGTGGTAGTAATCGCGAGTGGCATCAAACGTCGACATGTCACTGTTACTATCCGAATCGTCGGCGGCAGCGGATGCAGGATTCTCACGTCGTCGCAACAGTTGAATCATGGCACGGGTCGGCAAGCGACTCTCCTTGCTGCGCCTGTTGCCTCGCTTACTCCAACGAGGACGACCATCGCGACGTTTCAAAAAGTTGGCCATTGTTTGTGTTGCGTTCGTACCGGTACACTTCTAATACTAGTAGAAGTGATGCCAAGAGTCAGATTTGTGCCAGTGCAAGCCGCCTGCTATCCACACTCTCTTTCTCTTTATTTCTCAACAGAAACGGACTAGTTAAGCGTAGTTCTAGCAGCGTGGATTCATCAAGCGAGCTTTCGATCTTCGCGTCCCTTTTCCGTTTCTCCCACGCCGAAACAAGAGTTGGCTGCGCGGGAAGCCGGAGTGGGGTGTGACGTCCTGCGCAACGGAAGAACATTCTAGGTAGCCGTCCCGCAGATTCATTTTGGCGATGAGTACTTACATACGCGCCAGCATGTATATGGTACTTAGGGATCCCGCTGGCCGGTGTGGAAATGGTTCCGTGTTGTCAAAAATGGGATGTTTTGACAGTCTTGCCGGCATTTCCCTCTTCGATCGATGCCAACTTCTTTGGCAGGGACCGACGGAACAGCATGGAATCAGTTCTAGAGATCACGGGTTGACAGCAACTGAGGTATGCCTAGTCTCATCATCCTTGCAATTCAGCCTCGGTAGAGTAACGTGGTGTAACAAAATGAGTACAACAGTTACACAGTACGTCGCTCCGGGGCCTCTTCATGTAGTAGTTCTCTGGTTGCTGTGCCGAGAGCGCACTCTATAATGATGTCGTCCCAGGTGCGTTTAGTCGCGCTGGAGGTTACCTATTGGTGTCCTAACGCCGCGTTCGACTTTTTTCTGTCATTGGCCATGATTTTGGCGTTGTTGCAATTAGCTCTTCGGTTGTGTATCCAGAGAGACTCTTATCCATTCGTCCCACTCTATATTCAGGTTCATTGGCGCTTTAATTAAATTCCATAGTCATGTGATGCATATACGCCACCAGAAGAGATGGTTGCCGCTGACTTGTCGTCCCTCCGAGCCAAAGCAGGTGCTGGTGGTACATCTAATAGTAGTAACCACCAAGACGAAGAACATGAGAAGCCTACGCGGTACGGCTCTACTTGGCGGTGGTCAGAGAACAAACACAAAGTGTCACGACAACTACTACTCCTTGTCAAAACAACGAAGAACGCCGAGCGGCTC